TTAAAACCCTTTACTTTCCCTCTGGACCCAATATCCGATAAGTCCTTCCGACATGAGTCTCAGAAACTGGATTATATTTCTCAGTTCACTTCGAATACTTGTCATACGCCTGAAGGAAATAACTCCGTATCTGACACATTGCCTCACAGTCTTCACTAAACTGTATCGAAAGTGTTGATATTATTGAATTGCCTCTTCTTTGGAAAGATCCTGAACTGGACCATGAACTTTCATCGGCAGCTCTCAAAGTGCCTCCGTAGGATCTAGTAAACATACAACTTTATGTAGGATATCTGTTAACTAACCACGCCTAATAGTGTTGATAGTGAGATCAGTTAGCTTATATGAAAGTGAAACACATTATTAAAAATCTCAACTAAGATAAACAGCATTGATGCATCTGAAAAGCATTCGCTGCAAACTCATTTAAACATATATGATGAAAAAGGGTTGCAATTAGAAAAATGTATAGGTAAACAACAATACTCGGAATCTGAAATCTACGTAAGAATTTCAGGAAAAAATAATTCAACCCACTGTTTGAGTTGATACTCATGTGAAGAAGAAGTAAGGCTCATCACCCGGTATTTTCATTGAATTAAAAGTTTGTTCAGTGCAATAAGTGATCCCACGGCATTTTCACAGTATATTCTCATAGTCTGCGTATAATAAGCATGTTACTGCTAAAATAAACTAAAAAAGCTTTTTGAAATAGAAATTTGGATATGAAAACCGTAAGATATACATCATGACGATAACTGCATCATACTGTCAATGCCATTGCAAACTATGAGCACTACCAAGAGTCTCTGCACTAAGTCCGAATTTTCCTTGATTGTGGTAGTGCTTCTAAAGTTTGCGAAGTATCTACACTGCACCCTAAGTTCTGAAAGTGTCAACAGTGCACCTGACGTTTTCGAATATTCAAAATACCAGCTTTTCATAAAGCCGATTTTCGGAATATTATCCCACGTAGAATTTTCGCCCTTTTATAGGATACCATTACACAGCAGCAAAACCTCACCATACAAAGCACAATATAGAGTGGTATCTGAACTAGCTGCTATTCCAGCTTTCATACATGAATACGAGATATTACAGCATCAAATAACTGAGTGTGTAGTTGATCACCAATATCGCGTCTCAACGCCAGTGTTTGAAGTTGTAAATTAAAATCTCGCATTGTTTGAGAAGGGGCACAAACGAGTTTATAGGAAAAGATTTTCCTCTAAAGTTATAAGATATTTCGTCAAAACAGATCATGGAATGATTCATCGAGAATAACATGTAACGCATTCGAAAACTTACTCATTCACCTTCCACTTCCAATTTCTAGACTGCCTCACCTCTTCGTTGTCCAGCTCTACCGCTTGTCAGTTATCTTTTATTATTAAATGTGATTACATCCTGTGTACTTGCTGAGTCGTCGGCTCAGCTTTTTCTCTTCCTCTTTTCCCTTCCAGATTCTCGTGCTCACCACCAAACTCACACTGCTCTACGCTCACCTCTCAACAATGTATCTATTCACAGGCTAGACTAAAACGTATCAACAGCTGGTCGTTACAAACACACGAGAAGCGAAACGGAGTATTTTCACGCAAATAGCAATTGTTTCGATGAGGAATTCAGTAACACATAAAAATATTCAGACTCTCACTGCAAACTGTAGTGAGCAAAAGACAATTCAAATGCATTAAAAACAAATCACCGTTTATTCACCGAGTTAAAGTTTAGTGATAAAATGTACGCTCTATAGAATAGCGAAAATTCCCACTGAATTCGGTTTGCGTGACCGTTTTGAAATCTAAAGAATTGTATTCTCGAATATAAATCTTCTATAGTAATCAGTCGGATAGTTTGCCAGAATTTGATTTTCTCTCTTTTACTTCTGTTAGAATATTCAGCCATTTAAGGTATTGAATTAGGACTGTCATGGCATAAGTTTTGAACACATAGTATGAGAGCATTTCATGAGAAAGATTTAATTTCATTCGTTATGGATCACACCAAAACAATTAGACAGGTGCACATCTATCTTTCTTCCTTTTATTCATCAACTTTCAATCTGTTTGCAAATCAGGCAGATGTTTATACTCACAGCCTAGTTAGGTTTTGACGAAATCGTTCAGCTAACCTTTTTGAATTAACTATACAATTAAAATATACAAACGATTCCGTTGTATTATCTTATGAAAACATTATTCAGCATTTCCTTCATTCACATGCTTATTATGAATTAAATGGTCCTGTGAGCCTAAAATAACTCCTTGTTTAATTTGAACTGAAGTCTGATAATTGATTAGCTGATAGTAACTAACATATTGAGATATCATAATCCACAAGCATATCCTTGTTGTTCAGGATTTGAAAGCTTAAGTTGGATTTTCATAAGCACCTACACGTTCTGTAATACGTTAATAAGGTCAGCAGTTTTTGCCACATATTTAAATCTTTTCAGTTTCCCAACACTCATCCATGTAATAATACATTGTAGAGCATGTAGAAAATTTGAGAAGCTCAATCATAAATAAATGAAAGCAATTACTGCTTTCAACACAGCTAGCCAACTTCTCAATGAAGTCCCTTGAATGGGCAAAGTTAGTGCCACTCGCTACCGTATGAGACCTTTAGTATGATGAAAGAGATGGGAAAAAATCAGACTGACAGATAACACGGCTTACCCTGCTCCATGTGAAAATCCTTCACACAGAGGCATCAGTATCTGACCACATTGTATCAGTCTGAAACAGTAAAAAAGTAACATTTACTCAAGCTAGATTATCGACGTGGGACTACTATCAAGTGTAAACTTTAGTAGGAATTATAGTTCGAAATAAGTACCATATGAGCAATCAACACTTAAATGAGAAATATTGGTTAAGGTTAATCTTGATGACCATCGGTAGTTATGAGTACATAGTCATACTTGTGTGCAGTTGAGCTCCTGATGAGTAAAGAATGAGTGGTATACGAATGATTTACCACAAATGTTTATTTCTAAATTCCCAACCTAAGTTTCCTTATTTGAAAATTCTGAAATAAAATAACGGAAACTAGTTGCAGAAGTCATCGATCCACGTTATTTCGACTTGTCACAGGGCTTTCTCGGCAACAGTTTTGTAGCTGTTGACGGGGAGAGTAAATACATTATGGGGAATATTTCTAGCTCAGGAGGATGATTCTGATGGCCTTGGGTTCTCTGAGCCGGATGGTTTAATCGTGAAGCTTTCATTGTCATTCTAAACAAGATTATTAGCGTAAACTTGAGAAAGCTTTCGTTGATTGTTGATAAGATTTCCACTAGTGATATACTGTAGAGCACAGAAGCGAATCAGATGTTTGGAAACAAAGTACGAAATAGCGATAGTTGTCTGTAACGAAGTTTACGAGAAGCTGATAAATAAAATTTCAATCGGAAAATGAATTTACCAAAAAATAGTTATCGAATCGAAATGTAAAAACTTGCAGCAGCTTTGGGACAATATCTCTTTTTCAGATATAGATAATGAGACCATTAAATGAATAGTTAATGTTTAACTGTTGTAAAAAATTAATTAAAACATAATATTTCACACACTTGATTCTCCTAATTGACTTGAATAATGCAATAAAAACTCCATTTGAAGAATAGCATGACTTCATTTTATTTTATATGATTTCCATACAACGAGAATAAGTAAAACAATAACTGGTTACACGAATTTTAACATACTCTATATGAGGGGTTTTAATATGTCAATGTTTGAAGATTCGGAAAAACATTTTAATTTTTAATATGAAGGATATGAAAATAGAGAAATTCAGTTAGACTAGAGGCAAGTTATGTAAGACGACACCGTAGTCCCGTAATTCTTCCTTTCTGAAGTAAAATAATTTACTAACGACTTTCGCACAATTAATTTTCATTGAGTCGAAAATAATAAAATGTCATCACTGCTTTAAATGACGGCTAAATATTCATATTTTCGCAGTTATTCCTACTTCAGTTATCTACAGATGACAAAAAGAGAAAGTGAGATGAAAAACTTCATTTTTCAAACCTCTGTGAAATCTAGTTTGTAAGACAGTGCTGATTACGCAGAATGAAAATCATTAATTTTCAGCTTTCAAACCCTTAAATGTTAAGATAGATTTTGGTATTTTTAGCTACAACTGGGTGACCACTTAAATTTAAAACCAATGACAAATGTCTTTTGTTGCTAGAAAATTTGACAAGTTGATGAGATGTAAACGTAGTTTAGATAAGCCTACTGCATTTATCTTACGATGGCTGAAGCAGCCATCCAATAATCTCAGAAGCAGCATTATTCAAACTAAACATTATCATTCAAATAAATCGCTATTATTCGCCTCATTAAGTAAGCTCATAAAAGTATTTTAACTACAAATCTGTTGTTTTCCAATGTACTTATATGTTAAATAAGTTACATAGAGCGTTTTATCGAAACATAATATGTTTTCACCTCATTTACTGGTGTAATTTTTGGCTGGGATGACCTTGGGTCAGTTGTATATGTATCATTCACATCACTGTATCCTCACTACATCCACCGAACGCTTATATGCCAAGTAGAATAAATATTCAAAAATTTTTTAGATATTATCTACAAAATCATTCACAGAATTCGATTTGGGTAACATATAATCATCATCACTTGTTTTGCACTTCACACTACATGGAAGATTAAGTTGTTTCTAACAATTTTTTTCTTATTAGGAATGATATTTCATGATAACAAAAATTTAATCTTTCAGCTTATGTATAACTCAATCTTATTGGTTGATGTTGAATGGAATTTTCGTTAAACAACTAAATATCTTTGTACCCTTCAATGAAAAAGGATAAAAAGTAAGGGGTGATTTGTTGTAATTTGACACTTTAACCCCGTGATCAGGTGAGTACATTAAAAAGGGAATTTATCAGTGATGATAACACTTTTAAGTATTAGTTCATTTGATGAATTTTACTCAGAAAGATTACTGATAAAGAAGTGTAAAAGATGACTACAGATGATGGATTGATTCAGGTACTGTGCATTAATTACTGAATATTTCTAATGCTTGCTTTATCAAATTTATAGATGTTCTATGATATTGATGTCGATAAGTCTGGAGTAGTTGATTGCGACGAACTGAGAGAATATTTAAGAAAGAAAGAGTTTGGTGAATTTTCATTTCGGTAGGCATAAAGCGTATTACCTTTCCAATGAGATATATGACTGTCTGTAGAGATTTTTAAAAGTGTTTGATTCAAACCGTGATGGCAGGATAACTTTCGAAGAATTTCGAAAAGGATTACACAAAGTTCCTCATACACAGAAAACGTGAGTTATGCTCTTTTGTATATGGTATTTAATCTCGTTTTCCCAGTACTTAAAAATAGCTACTGCTACTTTTAAGTGGTTCATTCACGTGTAAGAAAATCTTGTTTTCAGGTTATTTTTAAATTTCCATGATATTTTGTAAACTACTGTGATAAATAACTATACTTGGTGTGACCTTACACCTTTGGAACTTGTTTAGCTTAGGGTGTAACAAATGTAGAAGGTTACATATGCTGCATAATTTAGCCAGTACCCTTCAGTTAACTTGTTTAATACTCATTTTGTACAGAGTTGCAACAAGCATAACAGACTGCTGGGCTTCTTTTATTTAGGTTTTTTTTATTTGAGTACCTAAATGAAACAATAATTCCTTTCAGTTGAATGATAGTCTTAACTGCAGCAAAAATGAGAGCATCAAAGTAAAATTTGTTTAAAGTAGCTTGTCGTTCCCGATTCTGTTATGAGAACAAGTCAAATTTTTAGGTGTTTTCTATCCAACTCGTCAGTATTAGTTTCTTTAGGATCTATGGTTGCTATCTAGAATGTTTGGTGCAACTATTCCCGTAGGAAACTCAAATGTGTCAAGTGTCTTGACATGGTTATAAACTCTACCTTGTAGGGAATCGATAACAACTGTCTTCAGGTATCATGTTGCTTTTGATATAACCATATAGGTCAGTTTACTTTTTATAATGAAGTTACAAAAGTAACTTCATTTGCACAGAAGGGATTTTTAGTGGGAACTAAATTGAAATCAAATCACATGGTGCTTCAGATCACGGGTCAAGTTAAAAATGGTGATATAAACCTGAAGAAATAATTAAAAGCTACTATTTCTATGGCGACGGAGAGAAGGTTTTATTTCTGAAGAAAAATTTTTATGTACACCTGCACTGGTTCCAAGTAGTCAGTGACTATCTGACTGATTCCATCTTCTGTGGTAGTCATCTTAATACTTCTCATAAATGCAAAGTTCGAAGAAATGACACCGGAAAATCTTGATAAAATGACTGAATGTGCACTGATTCAGTGTACATTAGATATTTCCTAGGCTGTTTTTATGGCTACTAATTTGTTTGATCTTTAGCACATATGAGTTAGAGTTTCCACTTTACTGAATGCAGCTCTCGTATGTGATAAAAAATACGCATCACCAATAATGAAACCATTTTAAGCAGTTCTAAACTATGACAGATATGAAAACTTCTGGTCCCTAGCTTTAAGCTCTGGACTTCTGATTAATATTTCAATAAAACAACCTCAACTGATACAACTTCTTACTGAACAACATATCAGTAATGTGAAAAGAATTCGTTATTATTATGTAGTATATTTGATAGTTATTTGTCATTGCCATACTCTTCTAATAAGTCAGTCAAAACTGAATGATTAGACTGTCTTTCATCTTGAAAAGTTAGTTACAAAGTCATCTGTTTGAGTTATATATTACCTATTCACAATGAAAAGAAGGCTAATTCAGAGGCTTATAACACCACATTTCATTTTGTTGAGTATTTGCTTGAATGCTTGTCCAACTTACGTAATACTGAGACTATTAGTAAATATTCTTTGATTAAAAAAATAAATTCTGCATCGCGTTTCAGTCATTTTCGGTAGCAGCTAGCAAAATGCATGTTTTATCCAAACTACTACTAACTATGACCAGAATTCGGTTACTTGTGTCATCTGGGCCTCTGAACGAGGTACTAACTAACCAGCATAAATTAATAAATTCAGGCGTATAAACTAACAAGGTGAACGACTGAAAATTCTTCATTTTGTTAGAGTTCCCCAACAAATACTTGATCCTAATTGACTGTTAAATATTTCACACAGAAATTATAAAATGTAATGTAGATTAAAAACTGCTGCTCAATAAGTTTAAACGAAGTTTTACTGGTATAGCATGGATCTAATTTTTTAGGAGTGTTTCATCACATGCTGATAGCGGAAATTAATTTTAAAATGAAACACAAAATATTTACTCACTTGAATCCATTTAGTAAAAAATCTTCTGTTTGGAGATAAGATAACGTTGATATAACGTGATTCAAGACACCTAGATTGAGTGAATAAATAATTAAACGGAAACTAACAGGAGGCTTGGCTACACATATGGAAGGATTCAATGAATACTTAAGAGTGGAAGTCTGACTTAAAAAGGAGGAGAGATAAATGCATTTAACATATTCAAAAACATTACATAAAATATATGTGCAAAGAAAACAAGGTGAGAAGAATTTAGACAAAAGATTCATCTTATTTTCTATTGTTGTGTAATCTGACATAAAAACTGCTTTAGGTGGTATGCATCTAATGAGTAACCCCAAAGTAATAGATTTATGCTGTTCTACTAAAATTCTTGTTATCATTTTATCAGAGTTATTTGTTTTTAGTCAGCCCTTTATCATTAGCTGCACGCTAATGTGTATGTTTATGGCCGTATGGTATTCAACGCCAATTTCTTATCATCTGGCTTCTTCCCAATAATTATTACCCCTAAGGTAAACAGAAGAAGCAGCAATGAACCAAAGAAATTAGGATAGCAAGCTGTCAATAGAGTAGCTGTACGTAGTAAGATTAAGTCTCACGAATTGCTCTAGTATTATAGGAGTAAAACTTGGCCAATTATATTTCATTTTAGTCTGTTTATTAGAAACGCCACAGAGTGAAACAGTATCATTTACTGAACATAATTTGTTATCAATATTCATATCACGTGATAGTCTAAATTTTGGTGAATAACTGTAGAGGCGAGTGATGTGACAGTATTAAAGGACGAAGCACATTTTCTGGCAGACAGAAAGAGTTACCAACACATAATTTATGCAGGTTGAACAGATTTATATTCTGAAACCAAGGGGAGTGTAAATAAATCTAATGTGAAATACACTTCTAAACACTTTGATTTATTTGGAATAATTTTAGTGGTTTGATTGTATTTAAAAGAAAAACGTTTTTAAGCTCATGATGAACAAGATATAATTTTGTGTCAGCCTCATTCTCAGTACCAGCTATATATGCAGGTGTGGAGTTTATTATTTCCTTCCCTTTTAGACATGATACTTCAAAAGTGAGATGATGGTTTCACTTGAATCTATGTCTTGGGTAGCCAGTTACAGCGGAAATACTGAAGTCACAATTTTACAGAGAAGTGCACCAAGATACTGAGTCTCTTAACTTTGTCGCCACTTTGTGGAATGATCGGTAGAACCCAGACACCACTTAGCAACAGGCAGAATGAAATCAGTTTCTCCTTAGTGACCAATCAATGTAGTAATCCTATACTAAAGGAGACTATTGATAAACCTGAAAGCTCATTGGTAAAGTCTTTTACAGAAGCACCGAGTGACAAGAGTAAAGATATCAGACGAGACATCAGCCTTATTGAGGCTTGAGGCGGGCCTTGGTCATAACTGCCAAAAAGCAGGAAACCTAGACCCAGGCTTCTTTCCATTTTGTCTCCAACCAACTAACATTAGGGTTATAAATTGAGCAAGTGATTTCCACTTCATAAAACTTGTACTGGTGGCCTTGGAAATCGTATCAGAAAACTTTCCTGAGTTGAATATCCTTTCGTAAACACTCTTCAGACATTATGTAAGCCTCACTGACAAAGTGATCTGGAACTGCTACCTTAAGTATGGTGATGTATTAGACATATTGACCAACTGACTTTCACTGTCTTTGAGAGGTTAAATCTTGTCATTCCCTTTGAGGTTACTAACAATACTGAGTTCTTCATGGAACCCATACTTTGAGTAAGTGACTTTAACTTGTTGGAATGAAAGTTCTCCGGTTTTATGTAGTAATCACTAGGTGGTCATTCATAACACATGATTTCCTGCAATAGTTCGTCACCATTTATGAAAAAGTTGTGTGAAATGCAAACTGAGAACGCTGTCCAACAGAGTAAGTGGTTGATAAAAAGTTGGATTTGGTCTAAATACACCCAAAACAGATAAAGTAAAATTTATCGTATTTTATATATTTTCTTCAACTTTTACATGCTACACTTATACTAAATACTTACACTGATATATCAAAGTGAATCTTCTAATAAAACTAATTGAACGGTTATGGTTTAGTCTTGGAAATTTGACAGGCTTTCAATACAAGTCTCAATACGAAATTGATACTGATGATCTTGTGAAACAAAATGATGAGGTTTTCATCCATTCACTACTTAGCTTTATCGTTTACAATAAAAACAATCTTCTATCTTTGTACCAAGAACCCTCATTATTTTACATGAATTTATTTATGAACTGATTACTGAAAATAATACTAAAGGATTAGTCTTAGGTTACCGACCAAAACAGGTTCAAATATGTAAGCTGAAAAGAATCTTAGCTAAATTTTGGTAACGTGTATATTATTCAGAAGTTTTAAAAAAAGATTCTTCTGACTACTGAAACTTTCGTTTACCGCTAGGAAAAATTAGATGAGTAGTGCTGGATGATACTGTATAATTTTTATGCTACGTAACAAATTCCCCGAAATGCAGGATGCTAGTTATTATGTTTGGAAGCAATAGCGACTGAAGTAAAGTTGTTCGGTAATTTTTCTGACAGCATCATATTTAGTAAAGACATCTAAAATTTTCATAAAATAAAATTGCTAAAGCTCCGTCTTAAATACATACTACTTAGTAAAAATATAAAACATATTGAAAGTTTATCAATTAAAAGTGAAATCTTAAAATTTTTAAAACCTATAGAAAGAATAAGATCTTGTAATTTCTCATCTCGAAATTTTGCAATATAATAATTGGCGGATAGACGCTAATTGCAGAACTAAACCAGTTGGCATTTCACATCTGTTTCTCTCTAGTTTTGGACTTTGCATCAGAACATAACTATGCACTTCAACAGGGAATGAATCCAGAACAGAAAGGTTTCGTGACAAGGATGTCAAACTTGGAAAAGTGGTCTGCTGACAACAAGATCTGTCTGTCTGGGGTTCAATCATCAATAAGTTTCCCTTAGTATACATTACTGAGGAGTACAAAAACAGGGAAAAAACTTTTTATCCAGTACTTCCTAATGTTTCAAAACCAGTTAATTCTGTAAAAATCAACAACAACAAAGAATGTTGTTCATTTTTTCCCCTTATGAAATTAAAAATAGGCGGTTAAAAACTCAGTAGATATATGAGTTCACTGGCCTAAGTGGATAAAAGTTTTACACAGGTTCATCAGTGTAATTTAACTTAGGTGGGTGCAAATTTTCTCTTGCAAACTTTTATAGATATGCACATCAAGTATTCACTGGGATTCTACCAACTGCATTTATACTGCTCTTAGATAACCTACGTTTTAATCTTTACAGTGTCTGGTGAATGGAAGATGCATTGAGTATGATTAAAGCACACAGAAGTCTCATTCAGCATATACGTAACTGAACTTCGATTTGAGTGCTAAATTACAGTCAAAATAGAGTTTCGTAATTCGAATGCATGTTGTCGTAGTGCGGATCAATAACATATGTGTGTCATTGCTAAGTAGCTCCACTTTAAATAAGGTGCAGGAAAACTTCGCAGGTAGCCTGGTGTATTAGGATGGACCATCAAAGTATTACAGATGATATTTCCAATATTTTACATAACGATTATTTTCTATACATATGCATCCTTTACATATATTTCTACAAATCATCTTCATATTTCAGTTATTCTTATTGGCATCATATATTACAAAAAGTTGATAAAGATAAAGATGGTTACATAACAATGGATGAAATTTACGACATGCTAGCTGAAAGTGGTAATGCAGAAAAGTTCTCTTCAAAAACTTTGCAAGCGTTCATACGTGAATATGATCAAGATGGCGATGGGAAACTCAATTATCATGAGTTCTTAGATTATTTACTAGATCAACCACCTAGTGATGATGACCAGGCAACAAAAACATGTATTTAGATCGATATATTCAAGTGAACTAAACAAGGAAGGAGAACAGATTGAAAATTGAACAAACACTCATAAAAGGGATATTCATAATATTTATTCACTTCAAACCATTGACTAGTAGTGAGGACTTATCATCAGTTAAGAATTATAACTCTTCATTGTAATGTTATTGCGAGATCTCATCCGCATTCGTATCAATAAGCAATTTATTCACCCAAAATTCATTGTTATCTGGTGTCATTTGTTTTTTTGTTGTTGTTGTAATAATAACAGTTAATAATGCTTATTCAAATACAGCTACCTGATTATAATTTGCTGTTACGACGGAATGAAAATTAGCTGAGATCCTAATTTTAAATATTCTTCAAATCATTGGTTTGATTGTGAGCAATAATTTGTGCTCAAAACATCATCAAGTAAATAATACTAGATCGCTGTGTGTTATCAATCAAATAAACAAATCTAATATGGAATTCTTCAAATCAATTTTACAATTCAAATTGATGCCCAATAAGTACGTAAATGAAGGAGTGACTCATAAGGTCATCCTATCAACTGGTGAAATAGCCAATTACACTTCTATATTTAGTGGAAAAAACTACCGTTTCACCCGGGAAAAAGAAACCAGTTTGGTTATTTCAGTCTTTGCTAGGATGATCTTCAACGTCACCCTAATCCATGCAGTGTTATTAAACGGTGTAAAACCTAGAAAACATCGGGAAATGTTTGAATTCTGACTACATATTCAAGTAAAAATGTAGGTTTTGCTTAACAAAGGTTATAGTAATTCTTGTCGTTCATAGGAACCAAATTAATTTGTTATAGTTTACACAAATTTGTTACTAAGTCAGTCAATCGACTAAGTGCAAAATATCAAACGATCAAAGTTTAAGGGGAATATACTCTACGGTTCCTGCTTTACTGGATATGGAAGACAGAAATAAATAATAACACGATACACTCTTCATATTTACTCTCATGTACAAGCGAATTTGAATTCCATTTTAGTTGATTTATTCGAGGACGATTTTAAGGCCACTCTAGCAATAATCGGAATAACCAATTAGGTTTCTCCATTTTGGCTGGAAAGGCAGATTTTCATAAAATAGAGAACTGTTATTGGTTAGTTCAGTTGTTGCCAGGGTGGCATTTCAAGTCACTCTTTATTCGGTGTATTCCAAACTGGAACAGTGTTATTTACTGGACTACGTTTCGGGTATAATTTTTTGTCTATAGTCATGTTAAGATAACTCCACGACTTTGAGGCTTGGTTTATATAGTTCTAATTTTCTCATCTGAATTATTGCAAATACTATATTACATGTATTACTCGTAATTTAAGTTGGTATAAGAACAGATATAACAATAATGATGACGATAATAATAATCATGATAATAATGCTTTATTCTGAAAGCTATTTCGGGAATACTCTACAGAATTTCCAGCATATCATATAGCATCAATTGAACAGAGACATTGTAAATGTATACATAGCAAAATGGAGTAAGTATAAATTACGTCATAAAAAAAAGATAAGAATACTCACTCCATCTACCACTTTCTTGAAAATATACGGTTAATTTAGGTGGACAATTACATTAGCAATTTGGTTCATAATACGTAAATAGCAATATTTTCAACATCACTTAGTCTGCTTTCAAGATCAGAAGTTGATTAGTTGGTTCATTTCTAACGATTTCATTATCGCCCAGCAGACGAGCCAAATACGGTATTGAAGAGCTTTAGATTTTGCAGTACTTGCCATAAAGTCCTACGTACTTGCTCCTCGTCATTTCACACGACCGACAAGCAGAGAGCTTTGACTGAAGAGGATACTGGTTATCTGGTAAAATAACTCCTATCAGACGTTCACATGAGTTAATATGTTTGTCCACAACTGTCTTAACTAGAAGGTTTAGAGGTACACCAATAGGCTCCTCAACACTTGAAGTAGTTGAGAAAGCAGTAGGTAACCTGAAATGAGGGAGGACAGCAGGACCAGACGGACTAACTCCTGAGGTATACAAGGATGGTGGCAAGGTGCACTTAGTTAGGTTAATGGAAGTGTTAACTAATATATAGGAATCAAATGCAGTCCCCTCTGACTGGTCCGAATCACTGATTATCCAAGTCTTCAAGAAAAACGATAAGTCTTCTTGCGATAACCACAGAGGAATCAGCCTGACGAACATAGTTTCTAAGATCATAGGTTCTATAATTCTCAGATGCCTGAGTGGAGCTCGGGAACAGCAAGCCCGAGAAAACCAGGTTGGATTTAGACCCAGCTGCAGGTGTATTGGCCAAATATTCACACTGAGCCAGGTTCTGGAACACAGGCACGCTTACAGACGCCCGACAATAGCTGTATTTCTCGACTTGAAGGCGGCACTCGACTCCGTTGATCGAGAAGACTTATGACAATGTCTCTCGCTGTAAGGCGTACCGAGTAAGTACATTACCTTATTGAAGGCTCTCTACTCAAATATTTGTGGGCATGTCAGAGCCTGTGGAGAGATGTCCGGTGAGTTATACTCGTCGAGTGGTGTCCGCCAAGGCTGCCAACCCTCTCCATTCTTACTCATTTCTATCATAGATATCCTCATGGAGGTCTCCCTGTCGTCACCTGATTACACAGACGTTGGTCTAGTCGTGGGGGAATTTTCGTTAGACCTAGAATATGCAGATGATATAGTCCTGTTAGGTGAAGACGCTGACAAGATGTAGAGTCTTCTGAACACTTTGAGTGGGAATCTGAGAACGTTTGGGATGCATTTCTCACCACCCAAATGCAAATTGTTGCTCCAGGATTGGTCTTCAACGGTGCCTCGGCTAACAATAGAGAGTATAGTGGTTCAGTGTGTCGACCACTTCACTTACCTGGGAAGTAGGATCACCCCTGGTGGCTCAGTGGACGACAAAATCTCTGCAATGGATACAAAAGGCTCGGCTGGCCTTTGCCAACTTACGTCACCTGTGACACCGCCGTGATATCCAATTGTCTATTAAGAGCCGCGTATACTGCACAACAGTCCGCTCTGTTCTACTGTGTGGTTGTGAAACATGGCCATTGAAGGTGAAAGACATGAGAAGGCTGGCTTCAGTTGTTTGACCATTGTTGCCTTCGAAGTATAAGCCGTATTCCGTAGTGTCACCACGGAGAAGAGGTAAGTCGGTTGACGGGTTCTGAATCTTCATCGACTAAGATGGTTGCGATATGTGTTACGTATGCTTAGTCACCGATTGCCTCGTCACACAATGTTGGCTGAAGTAGGTACAGACTGGAAGAAGGCTTGAGGTGGCCAGACTAAAACATGGCACCAATGTATGAAGTCTTTGATTGTTGGTTCCAGCTATGTGGGGTGATGCAGACTAGCCAGTTGGCATTTGTGGGACAAGAGAAACCAGTGGTTGGAGACTCCAGGCGATATGGCTGAGAACCGATGTCAGTGGCACAGATGTATACATACATTATCCTTATCTTAACGACGCTCTACCGAATCTCACCATTTTCTCATTCTTTCGTTCTCTCTTTTCGTACTTTATATTTCTTTTGACTGAATTTTGTTTTCTTCATCTTCCACTTCACTGTCTTTTTACTTGATGTACTGATATGATCTATGGCAACTAGGACCGTTACGCAGTAATGCCTAATCCTATATTGATATTGATAATAATGACCTCACGATTTCGTCACGTCAAGAATGAAACTATGAAGCGCGGTTAAATTGGCAGTTACCGACTGATGATCGGATTTTTTATTATCGAGATAATATATTTGTGAGTAATAAATTCATTTTGAAATGTCGTGAAATGAATAATACATTATCCTTATAAGCCAAACGAAGAAAGTAATATATAACAAAATACTGCTCTCCCTCAGTACAAAAATTTTACTCCCACTTTAACTAGGTTATCTTGTCTACAATAGGCCAAGTTATTCGTGCAAAATCGTTTTAGGAAGCAATAAGCATCAGTATCAAAGTTATCTGACTAGATGTTTGAAAAGTAATCCCAAAAGCTTATACCGCTTTGTCTCAAACAGATGATCAACAAATTAAGGTGTAAGCGGCATAAGTGTTGGGAAACAGAAACCGATACGTAGAAAAAGTGTCCCTAATCCCATTGAAACTGTTCGAAGTGACAAGAAATGAAATGTTTTAAACGATATAATATCTGTTATTTTTTTCCGAATGGACTAGATATCGTAGTAGCCATGTATAAAGGTGCTGTCTATGCTAGAATGCGAATAATTGATTGGGGGATTGTGTGTCTAATAGATACAGGGGCGGCAGTCTCGCTGATAAATAATTATCAGGCTCATAACATAAGACTATGTGCGCTAACGCCTCACACGGTTGGGGGACATGCATTGGAAATCTCGGTCTTGACAGATTGTGTCGTCGAGATCGGAAGTGAGAAAATCAGACAGATTTCTATACATTGTCATTACATGTCTACAACCGACAGTACTAGGTTGTGATTTTTTATGAGAATTGGGTGCGGCTATTAACACCAGAATAGAAACGGCGACGACAAAGCACGGATCGTTCACCACTTAGGAAGACAGCGAGATGGCAGAGGTCGAGGTATCAAAAGCACCAAATGTCACTAAGTTGGTTACAAAACGCCAGAGATGCTTCACTGGAAATGGTGACCCCTACGGTACTGTGACAAGGTTGGGCATGAATTCTCAGTGACAAGTCAAGAAGTGACAACATTTATAACACTTTGAGTCCCATTTCACTTAGAAGAAGTTGTGCGCCGGGTCCAAGAAATACTAAATGAAGGCATTATTAAAGCGGCCGATAGCCCATACAGTTCGCTAGTGCTTTTAGTAATACGTCCACTGGGAAATATGGATTCGGCGTTCGTTTCTGAGATCGAAATAGCTTGACGAAAATGAAGCTTTGTGGTAGCTGAACCACTGAATCGTCTGCAGAATGCAAAATGATTTATAGTTCTAGACCACCGCTCAAGCTACTGTAAGTTACCAATAAGAGAAAGAGAT